CCCCCCCCCGTCCTGTGGGCACCCTGTGGTCAGGGTGAGGTTGGAGACTTTATTTGGTGAGAATGAGTGTTTTATATTTGCACATAGAAATGACAAAAGGACCTCAGAGATCCATGACAGGCAGAAGTGGAAATTTTGCCTCATCACAGATTTGGATGACAGGCACTAACAGACTGGAAGGTGCGAATGTGGAACTGAGAGTGAAGGAGCCTGTCTGACCACCACGTACCCACCACCCACATCTCTGTTGGCTTTTGTTCTTTTCCTGGCATTTCCTATGCAGAGCCTTTTCTGTACGTACAACAAATAATCACTCTGAAAAAGGAACCAACTCCTTCTGTAAGTGTGAGAAAAAAAAAAATATATATATATATATAATTTTCAAGAAATTAATTATTCAGCAAATAGCCCAATAAATGTTAATGGCCTAGATTTGTAGAATTATTAAAGATACAGAGATCTCATTTTAATTATTCATCTAAGATTTGCTATATTTGTGAGATTTTAAATATTTTTGAGCATTTGCCAAAGTGTTTATAGAACATCATTCATAAAACTAAAGGTTGTATTGTATTATATTTAGAAGAAAAAGAATCTATAAATTATAGAGAATTAGCACATTTTCAAAAGATCTTAAACACAACCAAATAACCTTAAATTTGGCTGGGCAATTTGTAATGTTTTAAAATATTCAGTAGGACATACGTATCACATTAGAGACAAACCCACCAGATTCAGAATATTAAAATTAAGAAAAAATACTACTCAGATTTAAATGAATGGCTTATTTACCATTGACATCATTCATTCCATGTGGGAAAATGGGCAATAAGTATTGTGAGAATTTGTAGATGCTATTTTTACCAGTGTGTCAATACTTTTGTACATTTACAACTTTCCATCAAGAAATAATGTTGAATGCGGTAACAAATAGATCTAGTCTTTTCCATCTGACTCAGATCTTGTGGCTACTCTGTAGTTGTCTCCTTGGCCTATGGAGAAGAGGGTCAGCTGAGGAGTTGATCAGACTGGACACTGTTTATAAAGAAGCAGATTCCATTAGGAGGTAAATGTTCCTTCAATGGTAGGACTTACATCACTCACTGTTTCCCACTGCTTCCAGCCTGTCCTCAGGTGCCAACAGTAGAATCTGGAATACCTAGTTTATTACAGGGGGTCACAGTGCATTAGAGCAGAACCACAGGGTGGTACACCCCTCCCGCATCACCTCACTCTTAACAAGGGAATCTTCTGTCTCATAAAGAGAGCTTGAAATAGTCTCTCTCAGCAAGCAGAAGATTCTGGGCAACTAAAGCCATCTTGGAACTTAACAGGATTCCCTCAATTTCCCCCTGGATAGTTACTGGAACCAAGAGAAATACAAAGCTTGCTGGAAGTACCACAGAGATGGTGAAATATTAGAATCCTCTGCTAGTATGATTTCCCCTGTGTTTACATGAAAACACCAAGAGACCCCATTCTTAATGATTTTTTAATTAGGATATTTTTTTCTCAGTTTCTCCATGTACTATTTCTCTCAAAGAATTTTGCTACAGTTTATTTTTGTAACCCATTCATGATTTTCAGCCAACCGACACAAACCAACCTCATAGTTAAACTTAATGCTTGCAATGAAACTTATAAATTCCACATACTATTTCTCACTTACTATTCTATCAAGAATCTGATCTAAAAAATGATCACTTCTCTGTGTAAGAGGTCATTGAAAAACTATTGGGCTATAAATATTTTTTGTAACATTTCTGATTCAAAAGACTAATCAATATACTTTCTATTAATGGGCTACTTGTGGTCTCCCCAACTTTTGTTTTTATCAAGACTTTATTTTATGGAATACTTTTGAGATCACATCAAAATTAAGGAAAAGGTACAGAGATTTTCAATATACCTCCCCCCCCCCACATATGCATAGCCTCCCCTGTTACATCTGTTATAATTGATGAAACAACACTGACACGTCATGATCATACAAAGTCCATAGTTTACTTTAGGGTTCATTCTTGGTGTTGTATATTCTATGGGTTTAAATAAATGTATAACACATATCCACCATTATATATCATCATTGCACTGCCTTAAAAATCCTCTGAATTCTGCCTATTCATCCTTACCTATCCTTGACAACTCCAGGTCTTTTTACTTTCTCCAGTTTTGCCTCTTCCAGAACGTCATATTATTGGAATGACACAGAATATATATATAGTCTTCTCAGGTTGTCTTCTTTCATTTAGTAATAAGGTTTCTCTTTCTCATTTCATGGCTTTATACCTCATTTCTTTTTAGTGCTAAATGGCATTCTATTGTCTATATGCACCACAGTTTATTTATTCATTCATCTACTTAAGGACATCGTGGTTGCTTCCAAGCTTTGATAATAATAAATACAGGAGTGCAATTGCTGGATCATATAGTGGGACTATGTCTAATTTTGTAACAAAACAGGAAACCATCTTCCAAAGTGGCTGAACAATTGTGCATTTCCACCAGCAGTAACGGATAAGTTACTATTACTCTACATATTCACCAGCATTTGGCATTGTTAGTGTTCCAGAATTCAACCATTCTAACAGTTGTGCACTGATATTTCATTGTTCTTGTTTTTTCATTGTTGTTTTAATCTGCATTTTGCTGATGACATATAAAGACAAGCATCTTTACATACGCTTCTTTGCCACCTGAATAGCTTCTTTGGTGTGGCGTTTGTTAAGGTCTTTGGCCCATTTTTCAATTGGGAAGTTTGCTTTAATGAGTTTTAAGAGATCCCTATAATTTTAGATAGCAGTACTTTATTAAGTTTGCCTTTTACAAATATTTTCTCTCAGTCTATAGCTTGTCTTTTCGCTGTCTTGATATTGTCTTTCACAGAACACACATTTTTTTATTTTTAAAAAGTCAGCTTATCAATTATTTCTTTCAAATATCATGCCTTTGGAGCTGTATCTAAAAAAAATCATCAACATGCCCAAAGGTCATCTAAGTTTTCTCCTATATTATCTTCTAGGAGTTTTAAACTTTTGAGTTTTATATTCAGGCCTATGATACATTTTGAACTACTTTTTGTGAAGCATGTAAGGTCTGTGTCTAGATTATTATTATTTTTTTGCTTGTCAATGTCCAGCTGTTCTAGTTATGCTAAATTTTTATAATTAGGAGCACATTTTTATTTCCTTCAAATACTATGATCACCATTTGGGAGACTAGATGGAATACAGACTGAAGGGTGGGAGACGGACATGGGTCTGGGGTATGGGAACACAAGTAGAGAGTGGCAAGCATTTTACTTACAGCCCAGTTGCTAAAGGGAATCCATGTCTTTGAGTCTTATGGTAGTAGCCACTAACTTAGTAAATTTTTAAAAATTATTTTAGAGCTATCAGAATATCAGTTAGAAAATTACTCTCTGAAGTATTTGTTCTTATCTTCTTGTAGGGCAATTAGTCATAGGAACACTGCTTCCACTACTGAACAATAAAACATCTAATGATGATGACTGATAGTTACTGAGAACATACTATGTTTTTATAAGATCATTTTCCAGAGGGTAATCACTGTGCCAAGTGATTTATATAAATTATGTAAGTAGACCAATAACCATAGGCTATAGCTATAATTAAAATTATTATCCTTTTTAAATAGATGAGTGAGTCACAAAAAGCTTCTGTGTTTGGTTTGATAGCATACAACTGGTGATGGCAGGACAGATATTCCAGGCATGGTAGTTTGATTCAGAACCTACACTAAAGCCTCTTTACAGTACTGCTTTGATCACATGCCTCCTAATTTTTTTTTGCATGAAGTGAAATCACTTATAAAAACAAATAGCCCTCAATTATTTGAACTGGGAGAAGTTCAACCATTACTTTGTTCATGTTCCTTATTTTATAATCAGAAAAATAGAGATGAAAGAAATAAAAGGTTTATGCTGCATATAACAATGTCTTGAGGATTCTGTTGCTTTATTTTTACCCAGAACTTAATTTCTTTACACATAAATTCTCAAGTATTACTTTTCTTAAGTTTACTGATTCCTTTATTTTCCTTGGTTGCCAATTCCTTGGGCAAGTCTATTTCTTTCTTAGCTAACTAGTTAACATAGCACTATGACTCTAATTGAAAATACTTTTCACTAGCTTTTGTGTTTGAATCAAAAATTTCAGAAACAATTACCTGTAAATAAGGGATCACTTTACAGAGGGACTGTCCAAAGAACCAGGTCTCGGTGATGTCCACAACCAGCGTGGCGGGGAGGCAGGTGATGGTCACGAGCACGTCAGCCAGGGAAAGGTTGACTATGAAGTAGTTGGTCACTGTCCTCATGTGATGGTTCTTCCACACTGCCACACAAACTAATTTGGAAAGAAAAACGAATAGTAATTATTATGGACTGAATTTTTGTATCCTCTCAAAATTCAGATGTTTACATCCAAACCCTCAATGTGATAGTAGGAGGTGGGCCTTTGGGTGGTGATTAGGTTATAAGGGTGGAGCCCTCATGAATGGGATTAGTGCTCTTATCTCTGTCTACTTGTAAAGACACAGCAAAAAGTCTATTGTTTATAAAGTAGGAAGTGGGCCTTCACCAGACCCAAATCTGCCAACCTTGATCTTGGACTTTTCAGCCTCTGGAACTGTGAGAAATAAATTTCTGTTGTTTGTAAGCCATCCAGATTACGGTGTTCTGTTACAGTCGCAAACAGAATAACTCAGTAAACTAAACAAACAAACAAAATAGGTACTAATGAGGAAACATTGTCAAGCTAGTCAATACTTCTATAAAGTCCACAAACAAATATTGAGAAGGAAAGATAATTTAAGGTTGTGCTGTATTTTCATTAAATTGGTCAATCTGTGTGAATGCTGAATATGAACTTAAAATCAGTTCATTTGCCTTGCAAGATAGTTCTCTACGGATCATAGGGCTGCATTTACTTTTATTAGATGTTGAACTGTGATTCCCAGAAGTTAAAGTACAATCTTTGACTCTTTTTTCTGTTCCCCTGGTGCTCAAGAAACATTTACAGAATTGAGATGAATTAGAAGGTAGCTATTTTCAGAGAACTGTAGTGTTTGCCTCATCTATGCCATTTGCCCTTATCTGATCTCAAACTCTGCATCTGGAACTTCAACAGATTAAGAGGCTTAAAATACAAAAGTCAACAATTATTCAGCTTCTATTACTGCCAACTACTGAGCTAGATGGTTCATATACTCAGGTCATTTAATTTGGATCGCAATCCCAAGGGAAGACATCATGACCAACACGAGGTAATTGAGACACTGGGAGTTCATGGTACTTGTCTAAGGACAAATGGCCTATAAAGCACAGAAGAACTGGGATTAAACGCTAAGCGAAGAGCTGGTCTGTCACTACATTGGTTGCCTTCTTTTGTGAAAATGAAGATGTTACAACAAAGGACATATAAGTTCTAGAAATGCAATCCTTCTTTCTATTACTCTTGACGACCTCTAAACATCACCTTAAATCAAACATACTTTTCAATACTTCCACAGCTGAGCCTTCCTTATTGCCTTTCGGTATGTTCTTATGTTTAAGAGCCGTGCTATCTCACTGAGTTGCTTTTTATGGAAGTCCTTGATTCTGTGCCCTCCGTCTGGTGTATCCAACGGTTACATAATCACGGCTTCGGAATTATATAGGTGCAAGGGCTGCTACCACATTTATTGCTGGTTTGCTTCGCTGAAAGTAACTGCGAGTTTGCCTGGGGTATCATTAACCTGCCAGAGCTGTCTCCCATGCACCCAAATGATGCAGTGATTAGTACCCTTATAGAGTGAAGAAATAAAAGCACATTTTGTTAAGTTTAAGTCACTGAATGATGTGTTTTTTTTTTTATAATTATGTATCATTTATTGAGAGTTCTATATACTGAAAAATGCTTTTACTAGCTCCCGAAGCTGAAATTACCCTTCAGTCACAAACAGATGCTAATTTCATAAAATACCTGAATTTCTGAGAGTTTAATTTTGAAGAACTTCACATCTTTATCTAACCCCAGCACCGTAGGATCCAAAAACTCCTCTCTCTCTCTCATGCACAAACCCATCCTAGCAGGTGACTGACACATTATCACAGCTTGTTATAAGGAAATTGTCAAAAGCATCATACTGCGGATACTTGGTCAATAAATGGTCCAAATGGTATAATTTTGAATCTACCAAAACAACAACAACAAAAGACCTAAAAATAAATAATAAAAGCAGTTCTAGTTTGTCTCCTAATTCTCCATATTTTGGATGTGCGAAACGGCAGTGATAGAAAGGCAGTGTGAATGCATTCTGTTTAACCAACATGAAAGCAAGTATTTTTACACTTTTACATGACTTACTATGTGCCAGGCACTGCTCTAAGCAATGTAAGTTATTAACTAGTTTAACCCTCATAATACACTATGAAGTGATCACTATTAATAATCCTATTTAACAGGTAGAAAACTGACACTAGAGAACGAAACTTACCGAAGGACAAATAGCTAGTAAGTGCTAGAGCTTAGATTTATTTGCTGTGCGGTGCCATTATATTATGCCTTTTATCAAAGCAGGAGATGGAAAAGACACTGCCAACATCTGTTTGACAGGCCTTTAGCAGATCATTAGTTGAACTTGCCATTTGCCGCATAAGCCACCTTAGTAAGGTCCTGATCCATCCAGTTTGAACTTTTTAAAACTTTAAATATATCTTTATTGATTTGAGGGAGAGGAAGGGGGAGGGAAAGAGAGAGAGAAACATCAATGATGAGAGTCATTGATCAGCTGCCTCCTGCACACCCCCGACTGAGGATCGAGCCCGCAACCCGGGCATGTGCCCTGACCGGGAATCTAACCGCGATCTCCTGGATCCTAGGTCGACGCTCAACCGCTGAGCCACGCCCGGCAGGGCCAGCTTGAACATTTTTAATACGGAATTCCTAGCTTTCTAAAGACCTTGAGTTCATTTTGTGGCGGCTGTAACGACTAGCGAGTTCCTGTTGATGATGAGTCGGTAACTGCTTCCCTTTTCTTTCTGCTCGTGGGTTCTCCCGAAGGAATAAACCTCATCTATTTTTTTACATCTCACCTCTATTAGTTTCCCAGGGCTCCTGTAGCAGAGTACAACAAATTGGGTCTCTTCAAGTAACAGAAATGTCTTGTCTCACAGCTCTGGAGGCTAGAAGTCCAAAATCAGGGAGACAGCAGGGCCAAACTCCCTCCGAAGCCCATAGAGAAATTCTTTGACTCTCTCCGAGCCTCTGGCTGTTTGCTGGCAATCTTTGGCTCCATGGACATGCAGCTGCATAACTCCAATCTCCACCTTCATCACCGCATGGCATTCTTCTGTGTCTCCATCTTCACATGGATGGCTTCTTATGTGGACACCAGTCCTACTGGCTTAGGCACCCACTCAACTCTAGTATGATTTCACTTTAACTAATTATTTCTAAATAAGATCCCATTCTGAGGTCCAGATTGTTAGCACTTTAACATGTATCCTTGGGGAAGACACAGTTCAACCCATAATTGTCTGTCCTTTGGTTCCTGAAAACTCACATCTTTCCCATATGCAAAATACGTTCATTCGACCTCAACAGTCCCCAAATTTTTAACCCATTTCAATATTGACCCCAAATCCAAATTTTATTTAAATATTATCTAAATCAAGAATAGGTAGGATTTGGGGTATGGTTCTTCCCTGGGGAAAATTCCTCTTCATTTGTGGTCCAGTGACACCTAGAAAACAAGTTTTCTCTCTCCAAACTACAATGGTGGGACAAGCATAGGTACAGGTTCCCATTCTAAACGTGAGAAATTGGAAGGAAAAAAGGGTCACTGGTCTAAAGCAAGTTTGCAACTCACCAGGGCAAATCCCATTAGTTTTAAAGTTTAGGATTAATTATCTGAGGCTTGGTGCTCTGTTCTCCAAGTCCAGCAGGGTGGTGGCCCTGCCCTCTGGAGCCTGTAGGGACATCCTTCCTTGACTCTTCCTAGCTTCTGGTGGTTTGCCAGCAATCTTTGGTATTCCTTGGCATGAAATCCTTTAGTATTCCTCCACCTTCATCATCACATGATATTCTTGTGTTTCTATCCTCACATAGTCATCTTCTTGAAAAGATACCAGTCCTATTGGTTTAGAAGCCTAACCTACCTCAGCATGACTTCCTCTTAACTAATTATATTTGCAATGACTATTTACAAATAAGGGTGCATTCTGAGGTTCTGGGGGTTAGAATTTCATCTTATCTTTTTGTAGGACTACAATTCAACCCATAACAGTAGTCATTCAAGTATTTTAAGACCACAGCTATAATGATTCCCCAAGCATTTGCCTACACAGCCTAATATCTCCCAAACTTGCATGTTCAGCTGTAGGGTTTTGCATCCCACATCACCCTGATATGTTGTATCCTGAACTTACTCAAGATTTTCAGTAATGGCCTCAAATGAACTATTGGTAGCTGAACACATGTTTCCAAGTGTGACCTAACCAGGGCAGCAAGGAATAGGGCAATTGCTTTGGTCAATATCTCTTTATTAAGACAGCTCGAGGTCACGTTAGCTTTCCTAAATGCCAGGCCATACTTTTTGGGGTTATATATGTGTAAAAATACTAGAAATTGGTTCTCTTGTGTATATGTTTCTTTACTTTTGAATCCTGGGAAGAAAACTGGAAAAAATCTATATAGAACATTACTTGCACAATTGAAAATTGAATTTGAACTCTATGTTAGATAAAATTTTATGTGTCATTTTAAAATATCTTCACATTATGTACATTCAAATATTAAAGACTATAGCCAAGCCTGTTTCCCAAGACTTTACTTCTTTGGGCTAAATCTCACTAGACCCTTCATTCGTAATAGCAGGATTTTCTCTTTTATCACCTTGATCTTTCTATTATGAGAATCCTGTATATTACCAGTAGATATCTCAACATGAGCTATTGAGAACTGCACACAGACCTTGAGGTGCACATTTCCTAAGTTTGTGTTGAGTAAATTTCCCTTTGTTTATTCACTCACCTGTTCAATGCACTAAAGGTGCGAGGTGAACAACGCCTCCTCTTGGTAATGCATTACATTTGTGCAAAGTTAAAGTCACCGTCTTTTCCTAAACTTTCAGCTTGGACTTTACATTTCTCTGAAGTATAATATTCTTTCTTTTCCTCCTCATTACCTATGTTGGATATCTCCTACCTCTGTAATTTTCTTTCTATTCTTGCTGCCAATATCCGGTCAGAATGTGGTTATGATTAGCTAGAGTGCAGCAATGACCTTCTGATAGCCCATCTTGCACCCTGCCTATCTTTATTCCTATTTTATCCCTTCATACCATTCACTCCAATTACATTAAC